GTTGTTCCCTAGTTTGGTTAAGACGAGGGTTCTGATTCTTGGTCATTACCGGTGTTATTGCTTGATTTTGTTGCCTAGGATCCAATTTTGACTGACAAAGGGGCCTGTCTTTGGAGGGTGCTCTCACTCTTCGAAGGGTATAAATAGCGGGACGTTGCAATTAGAATGTTTTCCCTGCAGCTGACTTCTAAATTTATTTACCGTTCCGTATGTACCATAAGATTTGCTAAAGAGAATCAAATTGTTTAGATATTGCTTCTTGACCCCAAACTCAGCCTACGAATTCTAAATTAGGCCTAATGCATTGAAGTGCCATTCAAATGCTTCTGAATTCACTTTGACCTATCGGATGATGATAAAAATTGATTGTTTTTGAGAAAAATGGGTGTAAACATTCATATCACGCGTTCTCATTGACTTTGTTCGGTAGCTTTTGAACCGAAGTATCTTACCAAACGCATAATTGACTTGTTAACTCTGAAACAATGGATTTATTTGATGTTTTCTGCCCGATAGGCCCAAAATGGGTGATTAGGCCGAAGTAGTGCTCTACCCTACTTTATCATTTATAAATACTGAAGGAGTAATATGACATGCACTAAATTAAGAAAACAGATTTAGATACAATATAATAGATCAAATAACTGATCGCTGCGGTTTATGTCAAGAGTAATTAAAATTATATGAGAATCCAAAACCAAGTTCAACGACATCTACATGTTCCGGGTACCCCTAGGGAAGTGGCCAGTTTCTTTGGACCAAAATCCATCATGTGATACATCAAATCGCATGAAAATTTAAAAGCAAGTTCAATGGTAGACAGTTATTAAATGACACTTTATACTAGGTTGTATCCACGTGATTGCCTGATTTTTTGACAGTTTTTGCATCGTGACTGGAAAAAAATGTACCCTCGAATATGATTGCAGATTTGGAAAGTGTGTAAAATTTCCTATAAGAACTGACCAAGAGTTTATGATATGAATAGAAAAAAAAAATGGTTTGGCGAGTAACTATATTGCGTGACGATACAACGTTTTGCTACACTACTACACTGCATATAATCATAGTAAATTACACTGCATATAATCATAGTAAATTTATTTATAATGTTTGAAGTTAAAATCTATTGCAATGAAATTTATTAAATTTATAATTTTATTATATGAGCGAAAAATATGGCAATTCGAAAAGCAGAACTATAACTTGAACTATGGACGATTGAATTTCAGGATGGGACCGATATGGGATTATTTTGCTTGATGGGACAAACTGACTTAATGTTGTTTTCACATTTTTCATAATCAAAGTCCTTAGTTTTATCACATCATATGAAAGTAGATGCATCTCAAAACTGACGAAAATCCATATGGGACTGATGTGCGATAATGGACAGTATACTACCCACCAACACGCTTTGAGCTACTCAACTCAGAAACTCTTGATCAATTGTTATAGGAAATTTAGCACTCTTTCCAGATCTGGAATAATATTTAGGAATTATTTTTTATTTTTTCAATTACAGCATAAAAACTATAAAAAACTAGCCAAAACCGTTGTAACGTCACGTAGAATGTGATAAATAACATGGGAATTCAAAACCTATTTTAATGTGTTATATTAAGTACCCAGAACAACATTGCTCTACCCGGACGTTTTACGAGTAGTTTGCATTTTCTGACTTGGCCAAAGCCCATCATTAAATTACATGAGAACTAAAGGGTGTACCGTTTAAAATTCGTACACACAAAATTCATTCTCAAAATTCGAGTTTTTATTCGATTATCACCAAATTTTCAGAGAGTAAAAAGAAACAATTAAAGTTAGTGTTGGCAACATTCATTTAATTTATTTCGCCTATATATCCGAATGCGCGAACCTTGGCCTTTCTTTATTTCTTCTACACTCTTCACAACTTTAGGCCGTTTTAGAAGGTGCTCCTTCATAATGACCCAGTATTTTTCTGTTGGGCGCAGTTCCGGAATGTTTGGTTGGTTCAGATCATTCGGCACGAAATCGACATCATTCGCCTTAAACCACTCTAGCACGTCCTTCGTGTAGTGGCATGATGCCAAATCCGGCCAGAAGATCATCGGACCGTTGTGAGCCTTCAGGAGAGGGACACGCCGCTTTTGGAGACACTGTTCCAAATACACCTGTCCATTCATGGTGCTTGCGGTAACGAAAGGTGTACTCCGCTTTCCGCAAGTACAAATCGCTTGCCTAATTAAGAACTTCTTGGCAAACTTCGACATCTGCTGTGTTCGGAGGTTCTCGGAAACATCACACTTATCCTTGGCAGTCATATACAGGTTTCATGGGATCTGGTTGAAGTCCGCCTTCACATATGTCTTGTCATCCATTACGCAGCAGTGTGGTTTCGTTAACTTCTGGTCGTACAACTTCCGGGAACGGCTTTTTGCGACCGTATTCTGTTTCTCGTCACGGTTAGACGATTTCTGAACCTTAGACGTACGTGTCCAGCTCGAGTTTTGGTATTCTGCACGAAAGTCTTGCTCACATGCAACTTTTTAGCCTCATCTCGAACTGAGGCGTTCGGATTTTAAACGGTACACCCTTTAATCAATAAGCTTGGTGATCATTTTGAGTTCCTAGGCCCACATTAGTCACCTCCGGACATGTTCCTGGTACCATCGGGGAAGCCAAAACCTGACTAGATCGAAATCTTTCATATTACCCATCAACTCACATGGGAATTTAAAATAATCATTTCTGACGATTATATTTTGTACCAGCGTCCACATTGGACATACCCGGTTATATCTTGGGGAGCCTCACAGGAAGTGACCAGAGTTTTAAATAAGTCAAAATTTATCTTGCAATGCATCATACCTCCTGGAAGCTCAATACAACCACATTTACCACAGCGTACCACCGGGAAAGTGGTCCTCCCTGTTCAAAATCTGCCATGAGTCAAAACATATCGCATGCAATGTTGACCCAGATATAATTTAGAAATTGTCTTACTTCTCTCCCGTAATTGTGGACTTGAGCAACTTTGTGAGAATTTAAATAAGGAAAAAATAGACAAATATCACTATAGGTGGATACATTCAGGGTTTTTTTTCTGCTAGATTGAACGTCTATCGTGGAAGGGTCGCACCAACAACTTTTATCAGTTAATTTTAGTGATCGCAGACATACATAAAGTAATGTCAACACTTTTCCCAGCCTATGAAACGTCGTTTTGTGAAACGCGAGTCGACTATTTTAGATCAATGGTTGCCATGATCTAAAATAACGTTTAATCGAAGACTACAAATCACGAAGACTGGCAACTTTGCCAGAATCCAAGCGACAGATACAAAAGCGCTACGCTTGAGTGAAGGTGGAAGCAACGCATAGAAAAATGAGCAAATACACGAACCTTTCTTCTGAGGATGGAACCTTTGCTATCAAATTCATTCGAAGCATTTACCTTTGAGCGGTAGATGACGCGAATGTACCTGTCTCATAGCGTTCGTATGAGAAAATGGAAGAGTTGCCAGTCTTCTTGATTTGTTGTCTTCGGTTTAATACTTTTCCGATAAAATGTTACACTTTTCCAGTGATCTTATTGCACAAACGTAAGTTTTAAAGACGCATCTAGATAACGAATGCAAATAAATTCGAATCAAGGTTATGTGAAATGAGTTGTACCGTCAAAGAGTATCGAAACGTCAAACGTGCCAAAGCAAGAAATGGTCTACAGGCGTTCAAGAAGCAGAGAAAACTTAACGCCGGCTCGGAAGTTTACCGACCCGAAAAAAAATATTTTCTGCGTGTTTTTATTTTTCTAAAACTATTGGGAAAATAATCAAAAATCCAAGAAAATCAGTTTCTTTCTCATCATGAAAAACAATTGGACTCTCAGCAAAACCAAAATGTTTTGTGGTTTTTTGAGTTCAACTGTACGTCATTATGACTTATAAAAAAAGTTTTTGCGCGTGAATTTTTTTTTGAAAAATTACAAAAAATTTAAATTTTTTAGATTTTTGATACTTTTTTTCAATATTTTTAGAAAAATCATATAGTATTTTCTTTTTCAGAGCGGTGCATTTTTCCCTTAAAGTTCATAAAGAACTTCCACAATTGATAATTTAGAGCATTCTTAGCCAATTTTTTTTTAGCCAATTCTCCGAGGATTCAATTTGTTTGGCAATTTGTTGAGAAATTAAAATGTTACACTTTAAGGGATTTTTCCATCTTTCAAACATGAGCAGTTCTTTAGAGATTTGTACTATATACAATTTTCAAACTACCGTACTATAACGGAACTATCAACTCTATACTTTCATCTCCCATCTATCGTATAAAAATTACCACTTTAGTCTGTTTTTTGAAATTAGCATCTTCAACTAAATGTGAATGTAATGACAAATTCTGGAATGAAAACTAAACGCAACTCGAGACCGCGACCCCTGAATGAAACACTGTGTTTAATATTTTTTCGAACATAAGTTGAAATTTATACTGGTGCTTTGAGTTAAGTAAGTTATTTGTTGTTTGTAATCTTTTTCTAGTCAACTAGATCGGCCTAGTGATCTTTCGGCGTAATGACCATATGCATATTCCAAAACATGCGAAAGTTGTTACTTTGAATATCTGCTCAACACACTAAACGTCAACATGCGCGCATTAATCAGAGAGCTATTAACTTCATGAATTTTACCAATTCGTTTGATATTTTCTTCTACCCAGGACAGGTAAACCGTTAGTCAAGCAATATAATTTGCGTACAAATTAAGTTGACATGTTCTCGTATTCCATTTGAGGTAACCTGTCTTTTGAGACCATTATTGTCTACCTCCGAACTCTTAAACTCAAGTTAACGATGATACTCTACCGGTGTACAGTTTTCGTATATGTATAGGTATTCATATCCCCAAGATGCTCATTTCCATACAAGTCACATTCGCCGGCAGCCTGTCATCATTTGGTATGTCTACCTTGTACTTACGAAATTGCTGAGAAAACAGAAGCTGAGCAACTCTACTTACCCCAATAATCACGTCATGTGGATCACACGTCTCCAGCGGGCGTCGAAACGTGACGGAGGTGTGCGTCAGATTTTGGTATCCACTTTCCACCAGGTAATTTTGCGTGTCATCCTGAATCGGTGCCTGTCGGCTATCCTTACCACCGTGGCAGTCCTGCAAACGGGAAACAGAACGAAACAAAAGCGGAAAAAATCGTTAGAGATAAAATATGATTACCGGGCCGACCGGTCGACCGGTCAACCTTTTTTCACGCGTTGAAATTTTATTTCAGCCAACGCGAAGAGCTGTGTCTAATCCTGGCGATGGCGACGGCATACAGACTCGTGGCCATTTAATAAATTGAGCACTAATATGCCATAGCTGGGTGTAACATGAATATTAGAGTAAAGACAGGAAAATGTTTTGTGGCAGGATGCTGCCACGTCCCGTTTATGGTAGAGAAGCAACTAGTAACTGTCTAGGAAGCAGTTTGTCTATGGGCGCGCCATGTCATGCCAGGGGAAAGTTGTTGATTGATTTGTAAAGTTTGCTTTTGGTGTTGGAGCAGCAGCATCAGCTTTCATTTTAATTATTCCTTGCTAGAACGAGAGTGACGACGAGTATGCATTAATGGGATGATTTTAATTTATTAATACACACTATAGATATGAACTAAGACTGCCATGCTCAAGTTGGCAGATGATTTGTATATGTAAGACAAATTTTCATAATTGCCCAAAAAATATGTTCCATTAGGGGTAGATCATTTAAGCAAGGCTTTCGGAACCCCTGCTTATCGATTAACAGGGCAAGTAGAAAATCTCTTCAGGGACTAATATGAAAAGAAAAAGAAGAAATCTTCCAATCGATGAAGAATCTAAACTAAACCAAGCACTCGTTAAATGTCAGCTCTTGATTGAATGATCATGCCTATACGGTCTGGTAGCTAGGGTGAAAAACGATGATGACGATGATGCATGTAGTGTCAACCATCTACCTATTTGATTTTCACCGATAGATTTTTGAACGGTGCCAGATGAAGACATGGTGGGGATTAAATGCTGAAGGATGAGCGAGATGACGAGATCGAACGGTTCGATTATAGTGCAATAAGGGAATGCAATCTTTCCGTTTGCACAGCTTTGTTCGTTGTTCCGTTGCACGGAAGAATCTCTTCCGGCTCTACCGAGGATGCAGCTTGAAGAAGGCGGATGAAGTTATAATTGATTTTTGCCTACTGCCATTATTTATATTAAAAAAACTATCAGGTGCCAAGGATTTATGAAATCTCTACTTCAATGCTAGTGAAGCCAGCGAAGATTCGAGAAAGCTTCGATTATATTTGAATGGAACGGTCGATGGAGAAATAAAATGAGGGCTTGAGTGGATGTAGAAATCGTGTTTGAAGGACCTATAAATCATAATTAGAACGAAAACACTACACCATTTGAAAAAAATCATTTAAATTTCTGCGCACACGTAGGCAACGATAGATTTGGTGTTAAATTATACAATAATTCATGTAAATTTAAGCGCAACTCTAATAAATAAAATCATAAAATACAATACAACTTATTGTTACATGGTGTGCCCTTAGCTGTTGACAGAAGTAGCTGTGTTTTTTGGTGCGGATCACGCGATAGTCAGTTTAATCGGTAACAACTATTGTTGCGCTGCTTGCTCATTGTTTGTCGCCTTTGTCGTTGCCGTTGGAAGTAAACAACTGGAAATGTCCGTTGAAATAAAGCTGACGATCAAATTCAGCTTCGCAAATGGAAGTGTGAAACCCACCATAGGAGGAATGGCCAATTTTGTGGAAGCGCTGGACACGGTTCCCGTTAAGATGATTGCTAAATACCGGATTGCGGAGAAGAAATCACTGTTCATGTGGTTAAAATAAGAGATATCGATGCTTCATGCCTTGTTGCATAACCGTGAGCAATTTATTTTCCATTATGCTGGTGGAAAGGTAGTTGAGGTACGCATGTCCCCTGTGGGGGGCAACGTTCAATACTTGTGAGTTTATATTGTAAATATGGACGTAACGAAGGCAATTCCCAACTCGCTGTATTTCCTTATTAGGAAGAATTATATTCCATTAAAAGGAACAAAACTTGTGGTTCTTATGTAAGATGGAGGGGAAGGGCTGGAAGCAGCCAGTAGAACAACAACTAGATGCAGAAAAACCATCAACGGAACCAACAACAGCGCAGTACCAGTACGTACGCTGGTGTAGAGACTGGAGGCGCATCAGAAATGGACAACTACAATAAATACACAGAAGCAGAGGTTGAGGTGTTGGAAGAAGGTGGTGCTGGTGTAGATGGACGTGACGTCCACGGATGCCAAGAATAACAGTGGAGAGGAATCAAATTTTCAAGTATCGTATCACAATATCAAAGTTTTGAGATTTTCAAGATTATTGGAGGGGAATTTAGAAAAGAAGTATGATGAAATTCTAAGATGATTCAAAAGGAATTTTCGAAAAAAGGTCGTAGATATCCTGTGAAGTGTTTCAAGGAAATTCAGGCCAACAAAAATGTTCATGATCTAGGACATATGAAAAATATAAATCCATAAAAGACTTCAATTTGAGTTACATAGTAACATTATTCTTTGACATCGTATATTGATCATAATAATGTTGACGTGTAGCTGTTGTGCTAATGCAGTTTGCTGTTGTGCTAATGCAGTTAGTGGAATTACCCATAGTTTAGGTAAACTGTGTGTGTGCCACGAAGTGAGACTTTGAAACCCGATTTAAAAAAAATCGATTTCCGAAAATTTATCAACTTTCAGAAAGTTGATGTCCGGAATTTTTTTTCGAGTCACAGTAGATCTCGACGTTTCATGCATTTTTAAGAAATTTGGCATCAAACAAAATCCCGAGAGCGCAGAGATTTCTTGTTGATTCAATCATATTTATTTTATGAAGTCTGACAATTCACGCAGTAGAAATAAAAATATGTTTATTGATTCAAAAATCCTTAGTGATTTGAGATTTGGGCGTAATTGCATTTGTAAACAAACACGTCAATCACCGATTTCACACGAATAAAAGCTCAATCTCGAAAAGTAATAATATCTCATAGTGATAGAAGAATGATTCCTCTATCATTTGGTATAGTTTGTTTGTGAGATTGAGCTTTTATTCTAGAGATCAGTAATTGACGTGTTTGTTTACAAAAACAATTACGCCCAAATCTCAAATCACTAAAGATTTTTGAATCAATAAACATATTTTTACTTCTACTGCGTGAATTGTCAGACTTCATAAAATAAATATTTTTGAATCAACAAGAAATCTCTTTTAAAAATAAACATATTTTTGTTGTTGACCCAGTTGCCGAATTTGACAGCTTACGTCAAAACCATGAAAGCTCTTGTAAATTCGAAAAGATTCCTTTTGATTTAACAATCTATGGGTTTTGAGGAACAAATATACTGGATTGTTGAAACAGTAATGATTTCTTTTTGCAGCCAAAGCAAAATGAAATTCTTATTGATTTTACGTCAAATATTATTGCGTTTAAATTATTTTTTTCTGCGTGTAGTTCAATGTTCTACAATATTCTACTTTATCAACTTCTACTTGTCCGACTCCAAAATTGAATCGTAAAATATATATACAAAGCTGCCAGAGGGCAGAGCATCCACAAGCCTTTTTTTAATGGGTCTGATTTGGGATTTAATCCTGGACTGTTGGGGTGTGCTGCTGCCGTTGTCTTCGTTCGATCTCACTGGGCCACACCATATATGAGGCTGGTTGATAAGGATGAAGTCACAACTCATGTTTTCGATATGAACTATGGTGAAATACATTTAAAATAAATGTGATTGTGCACATGAAAAATCAAATGTTTAAACACTTCGATCAGATGTGTGGACTTTTTTGAGTGCAGATGGTAATATTGTAGAAATTCAACATAACGTCCAGAGATCTTGATAAAATTTTCGCGAACAACGAATGAGATTTAGGAAATCTTTACAAGTTCAGCAATCATGGTAAAAATTTAGTTGTATTTTGTGTAAGCAATAAACATGTCGTATAAGTTCTGAAAACTTCGTAGAATCGGAAGCAACTTTCCAGCATTTCGTAAAACTTTCCAAAAATTTAGTGAACTTCATAAAGGCTCAGGGATAAGTACTGGAACCTTTGCATAAGTTTTATGAAACTTAGATGATATCCACGGAAGCACAATATAGGTAAACTCAATAAAGTTCTCTGGATGTTTTGAAATGTTTTTAAACATGAAATGGTTTATTTTGTACTATTCTAAAGATCAGACGTTTGTGTGTAGAAAATAAGTGACTAAAAGATGAAGGTCAATCAGCCGCGAATAGACAAATAATTAAGAAATTCAAAGCCGCATCAGAGTTTATTGTAGATAATCTGGAAAAATATCCCAATTCCTCCATGCAATGCACAAATAGATTGCTCCTATATTTATTTCTTAAACTCTCTGGGGTGGGCTAGCTCTAGGTCTGGGGGAGGGTACCCGAGCAAGGTCCAGCATCAAAATGACAGCAAATTGAAATCAAGTTTTGATATCAACATCAAACTGAAATCATAATTTGATTTCAGTTTATGCAATTGATAAATTTTGTTTTCATTTTGCTGTACATTTGCTTTTCAAAAATATGTTGTTGCGGGTATGTTTTCATTGCCTTAGCATAACATCAAATTGAATACTTGTTTTGTAATCAACAGGAAAAATTGATATCAAATTGAGTTTTTAGTTTGCTCTCACTGATAGCAGAAATAGTTTTCAATGTGATGCCACAGGAAAATTTTTTTGCTCTCAATTTTTATATTTTAACCGTTAAAATGACCAAAACGACAGCAACCTGAGGAATCATTATCAGCGAAAACACAACATCAAATTTAGATTTCAATTTGATCTCAGACTTTACGCACGTTCAATGCAATGTAGTGAGTAGGTGTACGGATTTAGATGCTGAAGACAGCATTTTTTGGATCAACTTCAAACTGGTGTCCTTCAACTGGAAACTTTATCCAATTGCTCCAAAAGCTTGCGAGGCTGATTTTCCGTTCTGAAGGTAAGTGCTGTTAGATAAAAAGTTAGCAGGAAGATTTATATTCAGATGTTTGCAATTCCATTTACACATCCCACATAGTCACATATCCCAGTGAGTGCATGAGCTGGTTGAAA